CCAGTGTAGCTTTTTGCGCCCTTTTATTGACCCATCACGCTGATAAACGTGAGGCATATGACAAAAGCGAAGGCAAACGCTCATTTGCTGATTTCTGTTTATTTGTCGTCAGGCGCGAAGTTAATAAATATCTTATTGACTCTTATATCAACAGCTGGGATGTTTATCACGTTTCCCCTTTGTGAGCAGTTGTGTATTTTTTCGCCAAACTCCCTTTGTTCAACTTTATGTTTATTTTGCGCAAAGTCCAAGTCCAAGTTCAAGTTTATTTCTCACTGTTCAAGTTGATACAGTATAAGATGGCTTACAGAATCAGTAGGTTAACAAATGATGAAAAGTAAGTATAATATACAGGTTTGTTGATATGTGCACAGTGACCAAAGTAGCTGAAACTTTCGTGTTGGTCATTGTCCCATTTAAGTAAATAGAGGAGTCCAAGATATGTGTGAGGTAATAATAAATTAGGGTATAGAGAGTACTTGTTTACATAGAGTTTTTCTAGACGTTATGATACAGTTCGATAAAATCGACATAAAATGCTATCAGTTAATTTTTATAATAATAATAATAAAAAAAAAACGGAGGAAAAAAGGAGAATAAAATTACCTAATTATATATTACTATTCCAAGCATTAAGGTAAATATCTTACTTTGCGTTTGAGATGTTACTAAAATATTTACTACAGGTGCATTGCTGCATGTGCTCAGTAAAAACCTGTGTACACTTTTTGGACAAAAGGGGGAGGGGATGGGCAGGGAAAGGTGGCAATAAGTTAATTAAGGTCGCATGTATAGCAAGAGTAGTAATTACATTATGACCTGCTACTAGATAACTGAACTGGAAAGTGCTTTTTGAAAGGATTTCTCTAAAGAAAAGATGTAGCCATGGGCTGTTAAGGTGGCCCCGTTATTAAGGACGACTTTTTCGTCATTTGTTAACTTTTTCGGTTTTTACCCGATGGCTACGAAACTTTGGGGAGAATTGCTAATATCATTCAGCAATAATATGAAGTAAAAATCCGATTTACCTGTGGTAAATATTTTTTAGGAAATAAGCGCTTATTAAGTGTTAAAAAAAACGCGTCTAGTACAAAATTTTGCTGCCATTTTTTTTGGAAATTTCAGTAAAAACTGTCAGCGTATTAGCTTTTATTGATAGACTGTACGTATGTTGTATAAATTTCAGAGAAATCGTTGGAGCAGAAGTCGGTACCTAAAAAGTCCTTGAATTTCAGCTTTGAAATAGTTTTGGAACTTTGAAAACGAATTGCTTTGAGAAAGAACAATTAAGGCACCAATTCGAATTTTAGCGACAATTGATTCTAATGTTTGCTGATTTTTACAACCAAGGCCTATTGCCAAGCGTGCTATTCTTTAAAAGGTATTCTTTAGTTTTAGAACTACTATAAATTGCTCCAAGTCTGGTTCTGCAGTCAAATGACTTTTTCCTTGACATTTCTGAAATATCCTTCCGTAGTTTTGGCTGAAACTGTTGCTACATACATTCTATTGTATTAAAATATATTCAACTTCATGGGCTCTTACTGCTGTGCGTTGCTTCCAGTATGGTATACTTATTATATTAATAAAAGCCGATAACACAAATTTCAGTACAAAATATCAGCAAATTTTTTTACTAGCCGCGATTTTGTTCGAACAGTAGGGTCCACTTAAGCGCTAATTTCTTTAAAAATATTCACCACCAGTAAAATGGGAGTTAATATTATTGCTGAATGATATCTAGTTCTTCCTAAATTTGTTTTATTATTATCTTTTTTTTTTTTTTTTTGAATAGTAGCTTTCGTAAAATTAAATGTTGTTGTGTAAAACTACTCGGGTTATTGTGTTCCGGTTTTGGTAACCACAGCCAAAAATATATAATTTTAAACGGAACGCGGATTTTAAAAAGCTTCTATTTGAAAAGAAACAAATTAGCGCTTAAGTGGACCCTATTGTTCAAAGAAAATCGCGTCATGTAAAAAATGTTGAAGATATTTTTGACTAAAAATTTGTGGTATCGGCACTGCAGTTAAAGCCGGTGAAGATGCATTGTAATTCATATTTAAATGTATGTAGCAGGAGCTTCAGCCAAAACTGCTGAACGATATTTCAGAAATGGCGGCAAACAAGTCATTTGACCGCATAGTAAGATTTGGAGCAATTCATAGTGGTTATAAAACTAACGAGTACCTTTTCAAGAATGACCGACTGTGTGAGCTTTTCCAGTCCGAGGGCTAATTCATTCCCGGAAAAATCTTCTATTATCGACTTACGGAACTGGCATTTCCATTCTCTTTTATTGTCAAAACGCTGATCGATGTGCACTTGTTCGATTTTAAATCATCATAACCTCTGAATGCCGCACTACAGATCAAGCAAAATAATAAGAAATATATATTAAATAAAGTTTGTTAGGGAGGGTTTAGCAGCGTACACTGATATTTTTAGATCAACTCATCCTGATTTTGACATAACTGTAATTAGCCGTATATACGCACTCAGTGATCTTGGTGATTTAAGCAATCTGATTGGTTCGCTATCTAGGACTATTCAACATTTATTTAGTAAAAACCAACTAGTGGTCTATAATATGAGTGCTGCGTTCTGATTGGTTGAGCTGAAAAGCGCTGGCTTTGAAAACCAAATCGCGTTTTGCTAGCTAAAGTTTTTTTGTCTCGATATTTTTGATCAACTAGTTGGATTTTACTAAAACAATTATTCCTCTCACCCTCATGGCCTCTGAGTCAGTAGCCCATTCAGCCTTCGGCCTCATGGGCTAATGACTCAGATTCCATTTGGGCTCGAGGAATAATGGTTAAACATTCACCTCCTAGCGAGTGGATAATGTGTGAGCTCAACGTTTTTCCCATTTTTTCAGAAACAGATCTTTTAAAAGTCGACAAATTCCTATAGGGCTGACTTTTTTTAAGGCAAGAAAAGACTTGGAAAGATTCATACGGCGTTTCTCCATTTACTGTAGCTGAGTTTTGTGCTCGATGGATTGTTTACAGCTCCCGTTTATTCGCGTAGTAGAAGCCGTTGGTGAACTCAGCGTTTCCTAAAAAGAAAATTTGGCCCAAAAATCGAAGTTTATTTATGAGAAACAAATTTAAAAGCAAATGTTTGCAAAAATTCTACGTTTCAAGTAAACAGGAAAAAGAATGCTACAGGAAAACGACGTCTTACCTCGAGCAACCGAGACGCCATATTTTATCAGCAGTTCATGCGAAGAACGACAGAGCAACCCTTTTTGACTATAAACTTGGCGAGACCACAGAAAACAACAAAGTTCTACTTTACTTCTCACGTAAAAAAGCAATTCAAAAATTTAACGGTTCCATTTAACCCATTACGCTGTTGTTTGCGACGTGGTAAACTTGTGTGCATGAATTGCCATGTTTGAAAATTCAGCAACGGTCTATTTTCAAACTTTCGCGTGATTTGGTCCGTCAATGAAATCGTACTTCTTAATGGTTTCCTCTCTGATATTGTTGAGATCAGTTAGTGTGTATATACTAAAACAATTATTCTTTTCAATCTAGGTCAATAGTGGCTTTAGGAATATTTACCTCGCCGCTTCGCGCCTCGGTAAATATAATCACCCACTATTCACCTCGATTTCAAAGAATAATTGTTGAATTTTTTGTGTGGAGACATTAATACCGATGACGTCATAACCTTGCGTCTTAATCTCATGAATAAAATTCCTAGGAATCTCATTAAGATGAGGTCGTGTGCTATTTTTAGTTGGTTTTTCGGGAGAAGTGATATCCGCTGCCTGGTAATCATGAAACCGAGCCGATCGGCAATCTTGAAAAGTACTCTGCGTTTTTCGAAACAATATAAATCCCTCCAAACCTTGCTCTGAGGTCGAGTGATTGATTCTTCGACATCTTAAAGTTTCGTAGCCATCGCGTTAAACCAAAGAAGTTATTAACAAAAAGTTTGTCATAGTTTAATGAACCTTTATTAACAAAGGAGCCACATTAACTGAAGTCAATCCATTGTCTTTTTAATACGAATAAATCATCAAACCAGGAAGTTTTCTTGACTTTTTCAGACCTGTACGACTCCTGTGTGCGCCCATTGAGTCTTTGAAAGCCTTTAAAGTTTTGCTTTAATAAGCATGTGTTTTAGCGATTTTCCTTTCCTATAAGAGAACAAGGGTGTTTCCTTGAAAATCTCTCCAAGTCAGGGCCGGTTGTGTATTAGATGCCATTTTGTCCAATAAGGCATAAGTATGCTTTTCAATCTTGGAAATGACTGTTGAAATTGTGCGACAAAGGGTGGAACCTTTTTGTGCGTTCTCAATTTTTGCTTGAGAGCTTCCTTCCTTTCATGTTTAACTTCTTAGAGGATATTATCTACCCTTCGGCCCGGGTAGCCCCTAAAGATAAGGCGTGTTTTGAAATTTGTAAGGTTCTCCTCGAGAATAGCTTTGGAAGAGTTTGTTGATCTTTGTTCTAAGAAGCCTGAGAAATTCTCCTTTGGCAAAACCTTTCAACTTCCGCTGGGTTACAGCTATTCAAGTGTGTGCTCTGAAATGTTTCAATCGGCCTAAGATGTGTACGCACTTCGAGTATTCTTTTTCTTTTCTCGAATCGTTCTCTCTTATAACATCTTATAGTCTGTTGTGTCTAAGAATGTAGTTTCTATCTCTGATACATGATTAGCATTGGCTTTCTCAATAAAAAGTTCTATATCGTCCTGGTGCATGAGTACAACCACAAGATACCTTTTCAGTGCTTTATTTCAATCAACAAGCTAAGTTGACAACTACATTTAATTTCGTTACATCCAGTTTGCTCTTAGTGGGACACGTCAGCTTTCGAATACCGTTGCGCTTTCAATCACAAGTCAAGCCCCAGGACGTCTAGTTGGCCGGTGCTTCAGGCAATACTTCAACAGTTTTTTGCAAAGTCTCTGCGTGAAAAGAAAATAAACTGTGTGAATTTTTTAATACTTCGCCGGGCACGATACTTCGAGATTTGCCAGGATTTTCATTGATTGATGTTGCCTCTCTTTGTCATTTGACGCCAATCATCACTGAAAAAACTATGACTATTTTCTTGACATATGGGTAACACTACCGCGGCTGAAAAACGCATAAGCTGAAGAGCTCGCCGGGAAACCATAAAAACATGCATCTAATAGTCGCATAAAAAAAAATTGCAGGTAAGCTAACTACATCAAACTGCTTTGCGTTTGCTGTAAAACTTTTTCTCGACATCCAAGCAGTCCAAAGATCTTTCCCCGATGGATTTTGTGGGACGTGGACGGCGGCTTCGTGGCGTACGGGTGGGCCTCCTCAAGCAACGCTTAATAACTCTTCTACACTTTTTAAGAGAAAAGAAGTAAAATATGTGAGTTTTACAACAATAGCTCAGTGGTCATTACTGTTTATATTAAAACACCGTTTGCTAGGATTTTATTAATCAATGATGCTACCCTTTATCATTTGATACCAATCGCCTGAAATAAGCGACGGCTACGTTTTTAACAGAACGGTTATCGCGCTAAGATGTTAACCAAATAAAATACGCAATTTCCTGGTTAAGCGAGCGCGATTCTTTAGATGTACTCCCGAGGACTCCACAGAGAGAACCTATTTTGTAAGGGCGTTAAACGTAATTTTAAACAAATTATTAAGTGAATTCTCCACATCCCAGTAGTCTGTTTAAAAATGGAGACAAGGGAGATCTTACCAGCTTTCTTGAAGGACGACGACTTGGACTTGGACGACGACGGGGGTCATTCTCTTCATCATCTTCATCAGCAAGCTCGGTTATGGTTTCATCCTCCTCTTCATCTAAGTACTCCTGGACTGCCTCATCCTCAACTGGCTCCTCAGCCAAGGTAAAGGCTACCGCTCCGAGAAACAGGAGTAGAATTAGAGATTTCATTTCGAAAACAATGTTCACTGCTGAATATCCACTAGCAATGTAACCAGCATAGCTTTTCGCGCCCTTTTTATTGATCCTTTACGCTGATGAACGTGAGGCATATGACAAAAGCATGTCAAACACACATCATTTGATTTCTGCTTATTTTTAGTCAGGCGCGAAGTTAATAATTATCTTATTGACTCTTATATCAACAGCTGGGATGTTCAGTCACCTTTCCCCTTTGTGGGCAGTTGTGTTTTTTTTTTCGCCCGGCAAACTCCCTTTGTTCAATCTTATGTTTATTATGCGCAAAGTCCAAGTTGAAGTTTATTTCGCACTGTTCAAGTTCATACTGCAACAGTATAACATGGCTTACAGAATCAGTAAGTTAACAAATGATGAAAAGTAAATATACTATACAGGTTTGTTGATATGTGCACAGTGACCAAAGTAGCCGAAGCTTTCGTGTTGGTCACTGTCCCATTTAAGTAAATAGAGGAGTCCAACATATAAATGTGAGGTAATAATAATTTAGGGTATAGAGAACTTGTTTATATCGAATTTTTCTAGACGTTATGATACAGTGTGATAAAATGCTATCAGTTAAAGTTGATAATAAAAAAAGGCGAAAAAAGCAGAATAAAATTACCTAATTATATTTTACTATTGCAAACGTTAAGGTAAATATTTTACTTTGCGTTTGAGACGTTACTAAAATATTTAGTACAGGTGCATTGCCGCATGTGCTCGACAAAAACCTGTGTACACTTTTTGGACAAAAGGGGGAGTGGGATGGGCCGGGAAAGGTGACAGTAAGTTAATTAAGGTCGCATGTATACCACGAGTGGTAATTACATTATGACCTGTAACTAGATAACTGAACTGGAAAGTGCTCTTTGAAAGGATTTCTCTAAAGAAAAGATGTAGCCATGGGCTGTTAAGGTGGCTCCGTTATTAAGGTCGAAAGTTTCGTCATATATTAACTTTTTCGGTTTTAACGAGATAGCTACGAAACTTTGGGAAGAATTACTAATATCATTCCGCAATAATATGAAGTAAAGGTCCGATTTTACCAGTGGTAAATATTTTTTAGGAAATAAGCACGTAAGTGTTAAAAAACGCAGTTTTGGCTGAAACTGCTGCTACATACATTCTAATGTATTACAATGCAACTTCATGGGCTCTTACTGCTGTGCGTTGCTTCCAGTATGGTATACTTATTATATGAATAAAAGCCGATACCAGAAATTTCAGTCAAAAATATCAGCAATTTTTTTTACTAGATGCGATTTCGTTCCAACAGCAAGGTCCACTTAAGCGCTTATTTATTTAAGATATTCACCACCAGTAAAATGGAATTATTTTATATTATTGCTGAATAATATCTGTAGTTCGTCCAAAAATGATTTTGTTATTATCTTTTTTTTGTTAAATAGTAGCTTTTTAAAATTAAATGTGGTTGTGTAAAACAAAATCGTGGTACTTTGTTCCACTTTTGGTTACCACAGCGTAAAATATATAATTTTAAACGGAACGCGGATTCTTGGCTGCTCCTACGGCTGCCATGACGTCTTGGTGGGGTGGGGGGGGGGGGGGGGGGTTGTTTAGTGCCTTATATAGCCTATATGGGGATGTGCCGCCGGACAGGGTATGGTTTTATATCTCTCTGTTCTAAATAGGGTATATAATTTCGCGCGAGTCTGTCCTAAACAGGGTAATATAATCTTGTGCGAGTCCGATCCTAATTGTAAACAGGATGACAAAACCAATGACTATAACGTGAATTTGCTCTATTGCAATTGCCGATAAATGGCTTAAAAACAAGATGGCATGCATTGTGTCCCTTGTCCTAAACACCCGGTAAACAGGGTTATAAAATTGAAGGTGTTGTCTCAAAAAGGATATGTTTTTTGTTTAGGATTTTTTGTCTTATTAACAGGGTCAGGGTTTCGATCACCCTCACGGCTCACCTATACCCAAATAATGGTCGATCACCTTCCCTCCGCTCCCCCGCATGACGTGCCCTTTTACTGGGGCTCGGAGATGATCCAATTCAAGTTTTTAAGCTTTCATGCGAAGATAATGCATTTTTGGATACAGTCAACTCCCTAGAAGACGGACACCTTTGGTACCAGCACTATGTGCCTGTTTTAGTCCGTCTTATAGAAAGTCCACTAAAATGAGCAAAGAATTGAAAGACAGGGACCATCTCTAAGTGTCCGTTTTTTGTCCGTTTCGCGTGATTTGATCCGTCCATCAAATCGTGCTTTGTAATGGTTTCCTCTCTGTTTTTGTTGAGATCACTTCCTGTGCATATACTAAAACCAGTATTCTTTTCAATAGTGAACTTACGCAACAGGACGGGAGAGGAAAGAAGATGGCAAACCTTGTGTGACAACCGTGACAACAATTTTGTTTGAAATAACTTTTCGCCAAAAATCACTTTCCTTTAAACAGATCTTTTTGTAAAAACCAGAAAACATTAATGCTAAGTGAAGATCACGACATAACATGCAAGTTATAGCCCTGTCACGTTTGTCACGCACAAACATTTTGCCGTCCTCTTCTTCCTGCCGTCCTGTTGCGTAAACTCAATAGATAAGCACCCACTGTTCACCTCGATTTCAAAGAATAATTGTTAAATATTTTTGTGTGGAAACATTAATACCGATGACGTCATAGCCTTTTGTCTTTAAATCATGAATAAAATTCGCAGGAATCTCATTAAGATATAAGGTCGTGTGCCAATTTTAGGTGGTTTTCTGGAGAAGTGATATCCGCTGCCTGCTAATCATGAAACCAAGGCGATCGGCAATTTTGAAAAGTACTCTGCGTTATTCGAAACAATATAAATCCCTCCAAACCTTGCTCTGAGGGCGAGTGATTGATTCTTCGACATTTTAAAGTTTCGTAGGCATGGTAATAAACCAAAGAAGTTATAACAAAACGTTTGTCATGGTTTAATGAACCTTTATTGACAGAGGAGCCACATTAACTAAAGTCAATGCACTGTTTTGCTTTTTTTTTTAATATGAATAAATCATCAAACCAGGAAGTTTTCTTGACTTTTCCAGATCTGTTCGACTCCTCTGTGCGCCCATTAAGTCTTTAAAAACCTTTAAAGTTTTGCTTTACAGACTTCTGTTTACATCTCCATAAAATGGTAGAAGAAATGTAAAAAAACATCACAAGAGCTGAAAATTTTCGAAGGCATGTTTTCTGAAACTCGCTAATGTTAGCTGACAGCAATATAGCGTGCTTGCTGAATGGGCGAAAACACAGAATTGTGATAACAAGATCATGTACAAATTTAATGATAAAAGCCTAGCAAGATACAGATACAAACAAAAGCAAACCCCCTGAAACCTCGACCTGGGCTACACTTGTATGTTCTACTCAGTCACCAAACCTTGTCAGTAATATCCCCCATTCTCCTCAAGTTGGTCTTTGTGAAGCTCCCGATGGGATGTCCCGGTGAAGCTTTGAACTTGTGTGCGAAATTCTCAAAGTTCCTATTTTTGTCCGTGTCTTCTTTATCCCCAGTATCCGAAATTTAGACCTCCAAAGTGGCGTGTGTTGCATTATAAATAGAGGGAAATATTAAAAGGAAAAGCCAGTCTTTTAATATGGCAAAGTTGTCGCGTCCCTCGCTCATGGACTTTCATTTCTTAACGTCAGGATTGATCTGACATTCGTCGGCAACTGAGTTGTTCGCTTCAGTGAGTACGACAGCTTACAGTCAAGTCTTCAACCACAGTGTCGTCAACTGGTGAAATACTTTGCTCATAAATTCTGCTTATTAATTGCTCATGTACTACATCGATCGATAATTCTAGTTCTCTCTTTGAGTTCACGAAACTGCCCCGGCGTTCCAAAGCTGACGCTCACAGTCATCTTTTAGTGTGAACCTACCGTGAACGGCGTGTGGGTTTGTATGCAACGTGAGCATTTCTCTGAGTTTCCCAACGCCAACATCATGATCATCAACTGACTTAAACTTCAACAATGACAAAACTTATGAAGTGACTCCTATGATCGAATCGCTTCGAACAACACAAATAGCCTTCTTCCGGTTCGCAACGCCTTCTGGGTTTTCCAGGGGGGGGCGGCGGCGGAGACGAGGTACAAAAAGTATTCGTGCAAGAGTCCGTGCAAGATAAAATCATATAAAACCATTTGTGAGAACATCGTTTCTGGGTACCAGACCCTCGTGTCTTCCCTCCCCCGGGAGGCCGTTTTTCTGCACCGACGACCGAAAACCGAATTTATGACTGGCCTTGCCGGGCAGCCCAGTAAAAAGCTACTGTTTTAAAAGAAAGAAATTAGCGCTTAAGAGTGGCTGTCTGTAAGGATCGAGAATCGGCGGTCAGCGACCCATTTGGCGAATCCCTGATATTTTGCCCAAAGTTAGCCTTGGGTAGACTATTTTCAAAAATCATATTCAAAAGTTCCAACGATTTTGTTTACTTGGGAAATTTGGCAAAAATTAAAAGTGCGGTCAAAATGCGGTCAAAGTGCGGTTTTTTGGTTGATCAAAAGGTGCGATGATGAACCTCCGCCGAAGCCTTAAAATAAAATCAGTTGACCTCAAAATAAAAAGAATTTCAAAGCAATCAATCTTCTACACTACCAATGTTTTAATCTTTTCAAATATGATAGTACAATGGTTTTTCAGGTCATTTAGAAAACACCTTCGGAGACCGCTTTCGATGGCGGCAAAATGTAGCTAATATTCATCAGGATAAAAATGTTCCTGGTATGTCAGTTTTTAACAATTAAGCATTGCAGAGTTAAAATATAGGTCTTAAAGATTTACCAAGTAAAGTTTCTAGGTCGAACTCGGAACGCTTCCCTTCGAAGGAATCGAAACTCTGAGCAATGTTATCGTGCAAAAATGGAGCTGGATTTATAACAAACATCTAACATTATAGTTACAATCACTTGCGTTAAAATATCAAACTAAATTTTCATTGACAATTTTAAGTTTGCCGCTTATAGAAATATCCAAGAGCTCATAGGAGACACATCCAGTGCTTTGAACAGATCAGTTTGATGTAGATAGTCCACTTTGGTTATCGCAAGGTAATGTAAACGAACCTGATAAATCAGTTAAACCAGCCGCCTTTGTGTCAAACTATCCATGCATCCAGGACGTTTTCCTAGATATTTATCGTTCGCCAAGGTTTCTTGAATGAAATAGTAATTGTATGACTTTAAAAAAAACGAAGATAGTTTGCTGGAAAGATCGTTGAAATTTTGGAAATAATTAGTTATTACCGCGACAATAATAATAACCGGCAAAGTGCCATATTATAGCTTTTGGCGGTATTTAATCATACAACGTTGCTGAAAGCCATTTTCCACTACAGGGAGAGTTTGAATCGACGTTAGTTTTCACAATTTCAAACAGTTTTGTTTTTAGTATCTGAAACACGTAAGGCTACATGTGTTAAGAAATCGAAACAAACGGCATTCTGTCATAAACCGTATGTTGATATTCGAGTCCAGTAAATGTAACGCAATCTCAGTTACCCTCTCCCTTCCACCCAGCGTGGTCTTAAAATTTAAACGAGTTAATTTTGCTCAAATTAGTATTTTTCTAAAACGAAGTATTATTTTCACGCTCCGGTAGGAATAATAATATTAAAAAAAACAACAACAACAATAACTTCCCACCCGCGGGATAAACGTTTTGACCTGTTGTCACGATGGGGGTGGGGAAGGAGTACGTTTAGAAGTAAAAATTTTTCGCAGGGTATTTTTCAAAGTAAGATCTTTGTTTTAGGTCTTGCTAAACGCAGTTATAAAATGAATTTCATTACTTCATCCCGGTAGGGGAGCTTTCTTTGATATTGTTTTTTTGGTTTTGTTTTGTTTTGTCATTGACTCTCAGACTTGGGGAGGAGGGGGTAGTCCCACTTCCTGTGGAGGCGGCTCTGATCGCAATATTCTCATTACGTAAGTGGCTTTAGTTCAACCCCAAAACAGTTCCCTTCATTTTCATAGTTAAAAAAAACCTAAATGGTACTGCTACAGCTGCGGTCGGACCCTAGGCGATACCACTCCACAGATTTCATCCTCTAAAAGGCACCAACCTAAGAGGGAGAACCTGGGAAGGAGGTAACAGTAGAACCTTGGCAATTTTTTGAGGGAGTACCCCTTCTCCCCGTTTTCAACCCATTTTATAAAACTGGTTGTAGCTAAAACACTTCCAGGAAGCTATTAATAAAAGAGTTACTTTCGGCATGTGCACTTTTTGGCTATTTCCTCTAAGAGTGCCAGGTATGGAGCCTTCTTGCGCACAGGCGGGACAGGTGCATCACGGCCGAGATCCTCGCACAAGCGCTGAAGCATCGGTAGCTTGAGGACTTTCAAGTTACCACTGAGCGCCATCTCACATAGGTTGTACTGATCGTATTCCAGAGGATGGTTGAGCTGAATAGTTTCAACGACCTCCTTCGCTGTACTAAAGTTAGCTTCCTCTTGAGATGCCCGGATATCGGCTTCATCTGCTGGGTCCTTTTGCCGTAGTGTAGGGCTTTGCCTTGAGAAGAAGGACGCAATCTGCAAGCTGGTTAGGAATTCTGAGGACTGGAAAAGTCGCACACCATCTGCTCCACGGGCGCGTCTCATTTCCCTCGCCACAACCTCGGCGTCAAGCTTACGGCCCGTTGTTTGACCCATAGAGAATTTCGCCAGTAAGTAAGACTTTTGCTTTTCGCTGAATCTATACGCCTTCTTTGCTGCTCTGAGGGCCCATCCCTCATTTGGTACAAAGTGACCCTCCTGGTGAGCAACTGGGGCTTTAAGAGAGGGCAATATGCCAACATCTTCTTCCAAATGGGTCTTGTACCCCATTTTCGCTAAATCCATTAGAGAATATTTCACCGGGGATCGGGAACATTTTTCTACAGACAGATGTTTCTCTAAAGCAGACACTCTTTGGAACACACGAACGCAGCCGTCTTGAGGACAGGAATAAACCCCTGTGGATAGGTCACTGTCTTCCGAAATGCCACCAGATGGCTCGGCCACAGTTGCTGATGTTGAAGCTGTCTGTCCAACCTGTTTTTCAGATTTACATCGGAAGGAAGTAAAATCTCCTTCGGAGAATGATTTCTGAAGTACTTGGTATCGAGGACCTTGGGTAAATAAATTAATACCAATAAAGAGTTGTTTTCTGATTTCTTTTTCAAATCATTTATAAGTTTTTAAAGCAAACGTGACAGAAATAAACGTATGTTCCCAATACATGGGTATTCATAGCTCGGTTAGTAGAGCGCTGCCGCGCTAACGTACGTAGAAGTTATGGGTTTTCCCGTTTAAGCCACCAAAAAAATTGAACAAAATGGTAATTCTTTAAATTGCTCTTACAACTGCGACAATCATTTCTTCATTTATCAGAACCAAGAATATTGCGTGGGACTCCAAAGGTATCTGATACATGTACTTGCAGATAATTATTGTATGGTAAGGTTCTCCAATAAAGTAAGGGTCTTACACTTTTGCATTTTAATACAGAACTTAAATTTAGCGGCAACTCATCCATTAATTCTCAGTAGCTCACTTTTAGTTTTAATTCCCATACTTACTTGATGAAGATCCTGGATTGATGATTTTTCCGCGACCAACACAATACGCACGCCAACAGGTAACAGACTCTGTAGAGCTAAACTCAAAATTGTTCAGTTTTGTAATGCCAGTAATAGTTTGCCCACTGTCAGGTGTTTCGATGATCGTATCAAGGGAAACAACTCTTACACCTTTCAATCCACCATGCGATAATAATGCGTCTTTAAGCTCATCGGCAGTGCAAACATCATTGCCTTCATCAATAAACGCCCTGATATGTCTTTTACAGCTTGCAGCCAGCCGGTCTGCTGCCCCTTTTCCGCCTTGGGGATCGCTAAAATCTACGCGGACTACTTTTACTCCAGTGCTTGCTGCCATCTCTAGGGTTGGCGAATGGTAAAATCCGAGACTCGCCGAGACGCCGAGATCCTAGTTAGAAATCCGAGCCCGAGACTCTTTGGTGAAAAGTTTCGAGACTCAAAAAGAGTAAAAGCAAACCATGAAAAAACAAGACTTCGAGACTTGCCAAAAACGCTTCCGAGATTTCGAGATCCTGCCAAAATTTTCCGAGACCCACGTTTTTCGAGGTACCATTCGCCACCCCTATCTCTCTGCAAGCTACTATCGTGCGAGTGGAGTGGTAACAGCCTGCGTTGTCTTGTCTGAAGTAGGCTTTGTTTATCTCAGGGTGCTCGTGCTTAAGTGTTTCCAAGACATGATGCATTATGGATGCCACAGCTGAACTCCCCTGGCTGCAGGACTGAACTGCGTGGATAAAGGCTTGCCACTGTAGTTCCTCCTCCTTCCGTCTGTACACCACCGATATGTGCCATGATAACCCACGCTTGCCAAACCAGTCCGTTTGGGACTCACGGTATCTATGAGGAAGAAACTTCATCGCCCAGTCGTTGACGATAAAAACTGTCTCCTGATCAAGAGCGTCGATAGCGTCCAAACGAGCCTGTTCCTGGTGAGCCGACCTCAGCAGATGACATTTTCATGACTGGATGGCAAGCACAGAAGCGTTGACTAAGAACAGGGCCTCTTCTTTGTCATCTTGCGTGGCAAACGATGCTCTTTCTACTGCAGAGGAAATGTTCTGAAGAGTTGAGTGCAGGATCTCACATTGCTCACAGCATTCTTCGTGTTTGTGGCTACACTGCTGCTGCAGATCAGGACTGGTGGAGTCACTTAAGGCAAACACACTGCAATGAATCGCAATCTCAGATGAAGAACACACGTGGACTTGTAAGATGTTTAAAACGCACAGCATTTATTGTGACAAATAGTGACAATTAAAATCATTCTTTAAATTTTATATTTAAAGTCTTTGTAAAGAATGATTAAATTCTTTCCAATTACTGTATTTATTCGATCAACCGCCCTGGGCGCTTATTAAATTTTTGGACCTTGAGAGTGGGCGCTTATTCGAGGCTGGGCGCTTATTAAATTTTCACCATTTTCAGCAAAAGTAGTATGTTTATTTTGTAACAAAACAATAAATGGTAGTACCAAACGCGAAGATGTAACAAAAGGTTTCTGTAAAATACTCTGAAGAAAACTCCGCCTTCGGGGAAGTCTCTTGAGTACTTATTCAATATTTTTCGGGGGGTTAGAGGGGGGAGGGGGTGGGGTGGTGGTGGGCGCTTATTTTAGTTTGCGTGGGAGGAAAAGGGAGTGGGCACTTTTTCGAGGCTGGGCACCTAATCGAGGTGGGCGCTTTTTCGAGGTTGGGCGCTTATTCGAAAAAATACGGTATTATTATTTTTAATTAAGCCTTACCTTAAAATCACTTTTAAGGTATAATTTTGAACCCTTGAGCAATTCCACGTACTGCAACTCCCACTCTTTCCCGAGACCGAGCTCTCCAAGTCGGCGGACTAAATTGTCTAAGTCTTCAAAGGCACGCGCACCGTCTGCGGCCACGTAGTCAAGTCCTTGGAGAGATTTTCGGACCGAGGCCTTGCATTCCTCCAATACACGAAGCATAGTACACTCACTGAATGGTTTAAAGCCAGTTTCGTGGCAGTACTGAGCGTACTGACGGGTTATTCTTTGGGGTATCATCGTCCTTATGACGTTTGGTATCTCAACCAGGTGGCCAGAGGAGAGTTTCAACGTTTTCTGCCCAAATGGTAGATCCTGCACCAAATGCGGACTTGTTATATACGATAAAAAATGGTCAAGTTGCTTCAGATCAACCTTTATCCTCGGCGAAGGGTGGTGCGTTGTGGGAGCCCCGCTACCATACTGTAAGCGATGCAGGTTGGCCAAGCTATAGCGATATCTAGTTAAGCCTGGTATAAGTCTTGAAATATCATTGAAGCTGGCAACGCCTGACATGATAGACAAGATCTGCCTTCTTGTCTCCCACCCTTGAGCTTTACCGTATGCCTCTGCTAAGGCCTGAAGATAATTCTTGGACGTTTGTGATAATTCATCAAGTTTAAGAGCTTTGTTCATGGCAGGGGACGAGACGACCGCTTGCCAAAGAGAACCTGCATAATTAGGTGTAAGATCTTGTAGGACTGAAGAAAAGATCTCCACTGTCCTTTTGGTGTATCTCTTCTTAGTGCTCTCTCCAGCTTTATCCCATTCCATCCAAGGCTGAGTTATTGGCGGGATGTTCTTCGAAACCAGATATTCGTTCAACTTTTTACGAGGTTCTTGCATAGTGGTTGGGGCCTCGTCACTCGTGGAAGAAACAAGACTTCCGGTATCCGGACTGAGGAACGTCTCATCATCCCGCCCTCTTGACGATATCTCCAGCCTCTTCAGTTCAGTTGCAAGGTCATCAGACGATAACTCACTACTAGTTGTTTCTGCACTTGAACGGCCTGTTTCCCCCTCTACCTGAAACAGTTCAAACAAATATATTGTGTAATTACTATAAAGCATGATAAAACGTTTATTTTGTTTTATTTTATTCATAAGCCAACACCCACACAAACCCGTTAAGAAAGAAAGAAAGAAATGAAAAGAAATCCCCTAAAGTAAAAAAGGATTAAAAAGGAAATGAAAGAATGAATGATGAATTTCTTTTTGGAAGGAAAACATTTCATACCATCGTTAAAGGAGCCACTTAAGCGAACCATTTACACTAGTGTTTCTTATTACTACTTACCAACAAATGGGGCTCGGGTAACTCTTGCAGGTGCGAGACCCCGGGGACGGGCTCCACCCCACCTGAAGCAAACACTAGAGTTTGGTTGGGCATGGCCTGTTTGCTGATATACTCGTTGCATTGTTTACAAATTGCTTTAAATGGAGAAACAAAAGCAACACAAAATGAACAGACGAACAGAAATTAATGTCAATATACTGTATAAACAATACATTTAAAACATACATAGAAAGAAGAGAACTTCCTGCCCGCAAGACCAATAATTTTGAATGAGGACTGCAAGGTGTGCTTGGATTACCCGCACCCCCAAGGCAAAAATGACCCCTGCGTCATACAAACAAGCGACACGTGATAATTAATACATCTTAAAAGCGCCTTTCGATTCCCTCTCCTTGCACGCTCTCTCCTCTCTTGTCACTGTCTCGTGGAAATTTCTTACTGTTTCTTTAATAGAGTGCTAGCAAACTCCTCGCCTTGTCTGCCACCTTATATGTGATTCTTAACCGTGAAAAATTACCATTATCTAACCAATCTTCACAGAAAAGTTTGCAACTTACGTGATGCAAGTGGAATACATGTGTTCGTGGTTTTGAAAATAAACGCCGACTTCAAGCTATCCACTCGGTGGCTCCCTTTAGCAGTTGTAGTTTTATGTACTGCTAATTCTTTGGGCACTGTACACATGGTCTTCCCTGTCCTCCAGCGGATGCCGAAATCAGCCCTGTGCCTTGGACAAATGCTCAAGGCATAGTGATGTTCTTCCACAGAGAAAACCCCTAGAAGGAGAATTTGTTGAGAATAACCACCCTCAAGTGCATGATGATAAAAAGTAAAACGTATAATAATAATATAGCTGATAAAAAGACCAAAATATTATATTTTAGGGTGGTATTTATCTGCTCTGGCTAACAGCAACTTTATTTCAGATCCTAAACCCTCATCTGCGCTGAGGTTTAAGGTCTTTAAATGGCCAGTTACATCTTTTGTACAGTCTTTGAACGCAATACATTCCAGCTGACCAGGATAATCTGTGGACTTACCGCAAGGTGTGCCCTGGGAAGGGGTGACCTTACCTAGAAGCGCTTTGTAGCTACAGTGAACCATTCAAGAAAAGATGAGACCGAGTTAAACAAGGATATATGACCAACGCTGTATTTTCAACCTGTTGCGAAATGTTGTTGCACAATAGTGACGGGTGTGCTCGTGCGCACGGTTGCGTGACTTTCTGGTAAATTTCCTGTGCGCCAAGCATGCACGCATTTCGAAGCGCCACAAATGGATCTGAATATGAACTTTAAAGCCTCTGATGTGTTTTTACAGAAAGTTTGCAATGGTGGACACAAAATGGAGAAAAGGATAAGGTAAATGTAAATTTCGTTTTCGGTTTCAGTCGTTTCATGGTGTCAGTGCCAATTTTACAATAGCGCCGAATTAGTGCAGTCTTTGTTTGTTTGGGTTCGGATTACTTTGTTTAACTCCTTTTCACTTCTGTGCAATTCAACGAAAAGTCGTGAGTTGATAGTATTAAAAATATTTGGAGTACTGTATTGCTCGCATCCTGAGCGCTTGAGACATCGAAACAAGGTTGCATTTACAGGATACGGCGCTTTAGGAAGATCAAGTAACTGAAGTAAAAATTCCAGGCAGTCTTGAGATATGCGGGGTTAGTAATTCTTTTCAACCGATCTTTCTTTTGAAACTGTTTAGGTCTGAGAGGCCAAATGTGTTTATTGCGTTTAACCTAATCTAAAACGACTTGTGAATTTCAAACGAAAGAAGATATGGAAAGTGCCCTTCTGATCGAGTGACGGGACGAGAAAAATGTTTTTTAATGTTTGTTGACAAGCGCTGATAATGTTACAAAGTTAACTGACTTGTCTCTTAGAAAGCGTACTGAGATAGACCTTGAAACTTTACTTGGTAAATCTTTAAGACCTATATTTTAGCTCTGCAATGCTTAATTGTTAAAAACTGACATACCAGGAACATTTTTATCCTGATGAATATTAGCTACATTTTGCCGCTATCGGAAGCGGTCTTCGAAGGTGTTTTCTAAATGGCCTGAAAAACCATTGTACTATCATATTTGAAAAGATTAAAACATTGGTAGTGTAGAAGATTGATTGCTTTGAAATTCTTGTTATTTTGAGGTCAACTGAGTTCATTTTAAGACTTCGGCGGAGGTTCATCATCGCACCTTTTGATCAACCAAAAAACCGCACTCTGACCGCATTTTGACTGCACTTTTAATTTTTCTCAATTTTCACAAATAAACAAAATCTTTGGAACTTTTGAATATGATTTTTGAAAATAGTCTACCCAAGGCTAACTTTGGGCAAAATATCAGGGATTCGCCAAATGAGTCGCTGACCGCCGATTCTCGATCCTTACAGACAGCCACTCTTAAGTGGGCCCCACTTTTCAAAGAAAATCGCGTCAAGTAAAAAAATGTTGGTGAAGATGTTAAAATGTATGTAGCAGGAGCTTCAGCCAAAACTGCTGAAAGATATTTCAGAAATGGCGGCGAACAAGTCATTTGACTGCAGAGCAAGATTTGGAGCAATTTATAGTGGTTCTAAAACTAAAGAGTACCTTTTCAAGAATGACCGACCGGGTGAGCTTTTCTAGTCCGAGGGTCAATTCATTCCCGGAAAAATCTCTTACTATCGAGTTAACGGAATTGGCATTTCCATTCTCTTTTATTGCCAAAACGCTGATCGATGTGCGCTTGTTCGATTTTAAATCATCATAACCTCTGAATGCCGCACTAAAAATCAAGCAAAATAATAACAAATGTATATCAAATATATTTTCATGACTTAGAATTTTGGTTGGGCTGGTTTAGCAGCGTACCAGTATTTTTAGATCAACTCATCCCGATTTTGGCATAATTGTAATTAGTATATACACACTCAGTGATCTTGGTGATTTAAGCAATCTGATTGGTTCGCTATCTCGGACTATTCTACAATATTCACCTCCTAGCGAGTGGATTATGTGTGAGTTCGGTGTTTTCCCCATTTTTTCAGCGAACGATCTTTTAAAGGTCCACAAAATCCTTAAGGGTTGACTTTTTTTTAAGCCAAGAAAAGACCTCAAAGGATGTTCGGCGTTTTTCCATTTACTGTAGGTGAGTTTATGGCTCGATGGATTGTTTACAACTCCCGTTTATTCGGGTAGGAGAAGCCGTTTCGTGAAGTCAGCGTTTATTTATGACAAACAAATTTGAAAGCAAATGTTTGCAAAAATTCTGCGTTTCAAGTAAATAGGAAAAACAATGCTACATGAAGACGACGTCTTACCTCGAGCAACCGAGACACAATATTTTATTAGCACTTTAATTCTAAGGTAAGGAAACAGTTCAAACTTTTAACGGTTCCATTTGAGCCATTACGCTGTCCTTTACGTAGTGATAAACAATAAACTTGTGTGCATGCATAGACCTTTCTACCGATACGGCGGCCATATTGAATTAATTCGATTTAAGGAGTATTATAGGATTCCCAGGGGGCATGAGCACATTTCGTTTGTATTTATAATGATCGCCTTTTTCTAGTTTAGTGTTAGAAAATTTAATATGGTCTTTCACTGTATATTTCTCGGGAAAAAAGGCGATCATTATTACATCCAAACAAAGCACAAGGATAATTTTTCCCTTTAGAATCTTATTCTAAGAAAACTTTAAGAAAAAATGTCCCGAAAAGCGCGCGAAAATACAAACGAAATGTGCTCATGCCCCCTGGGCATCCTATAATACTCCTTAAATCGAATTTATTCAATATGGCCCCCTATCAGTAAAAAGGTCAATTGCCATGTTTGAAAATTCTGCAAAGATCTATTTTTTAATTTAAACCTTCGCGTGATTTGATCCGTCAATCAAATCGTACTTTTTAATGGTTTCCTCTTTGATTTTGTTGACGTGTGTATATACTAAAACAATTATTCTTTTCAATCTCGGTGTATAGTGGCATTAGGAAAATTACCTCGCCGCTTCGCGCCTGGGTAAATACTTAGCCACTATTCACACCTCCATTTCAAAGAATAATTGTTAAAAATTTTTCACGAGGAGCCGCAAGGGGTGATATTTTTGCACGGCATCTGGCGGCACATCAAAGAATTTGGAATTGAAGGGCAAATTCCTAGAATATCTTCGCCAGTTAAGCTAGAGAAAAGGTGTTAAAAAACCTCAGGATCCAAAACAACACGTCAATCAAAATATCACTTGGACCTTTTCGCTAATGAAGAGCTATTACGCGGCTAAGCTTGAATTAGACATATATTGAAATAGGAACTCGTGTCAATAAAGTATCAGAAGTGAGCGGGAATCGCTCCTGGTTAAAAAACTGGTTCACAGGGATATGCATCTCTTCTAGTTAAGAGAAGGGAATCAGAACTGCTTTTCATGCAGGAACAGGTTTTCTTCGGGCTAACTACAAAACCTCAGCTTATTTCACTCCTTGACATTGTCAAAGCGCATTTTGTAAAGATAACTTTTTCCGCTTTATGAGCTTTTTTTATATTCTATTCCATTAATGTTTAACCTCCCTCAAAAAGCCAAGTAATATAAATGCTGTTGTTAAAAAAAGCGTTTTACTTGTTTACGTGAATTCGCTACCCAAAGATCACTATGCTGAAAGGACAGGGCAAAATTTCCAGGAGAGAGGCATTAATTTTTTTTCCCACGAGGTTACAAAGAGAAAATGCAATGATTATTATTAATGTAACCATCAGGTATACTCTACCCACGAGTTTACGGACAGCAAATGCAGTGATTATTATTAATGTAGCCATCGGGTATATTCTACCCACGAGGTTACAAAGAGAAATGCAATGATTATTATTAACGTAACCTTCAGGTATGTTCTACCCACGAGGTTACAGAGAGCAAATGTAGTGATTATTATTAAATGTAACCGTCGGGTATATTCTACCCACGAGGTTACAAAGAGAAAATGCAATGATTATTATTAACGTAACCTTCAGGTATGTTCTACCCACGAGGTTACAGAGAGAAAATGCAGTGATTATTATTAAATGTAACCGTCAGGTATATTCTACCCACGAGGTTACAAAGAGAAAATGCAAAGATTATTATTAACGTAACCTTCAGGTATGTTCTACCCACGAGGTTACAGAGAGCCTGCAAATGCAGTGACAATTATTAGATTTTAGTGCAACTATCAGGTTGAGTTCCTCCATTAAAAGAGTTTTTTTCTAGGGTTAAACAAGTTTGGCTTTCATGAGTTTCAAGGTGCAAGAAATTATCAGTATAATTATAGCACACAAACATTGTCATCTAATTTTTAGCCGGAATAAGCCAAGAAATGAAGCATATATAACGAAAAACCGTTCTCAGATGATCTCCATTTTAAATAAATTATACTAAACGTTGCGAAAGAAATTATTGTTCGTATCCGTCTTATCCATCGTAAAAGCGAGGGGTCATCGATGACATCCGGTATATTAAACAGGTAATACTCACGGGTTTTTATGCACTATTTTTCGCCGAGAAACAAATTTTTCAATTCTTACCTTACAGTAGTCCGTTCTTTTACCTTGCATTCGACAACAAATCTGTTAAAGGCGAACAAAGCGATTCCGGCACTCTTCTTTATGATGAGTAGCAAGCCGCAGGAACTGAAGCCGCATCTTCGCCTTGGTAATGTATTCCATACCAAGGTATCTCCAGAAGGTGGAATCGAAGTGGGACAAACCTTGTTTTTTTTAGACGCCCTTTCGCAAACTAATTTATTCTGGCGCGAAATGAAGATTAACAATAGGTATACTGAAATCTAATCCACGACAAGAAGATTTTTCGCACTGTAGCGCGACATATTAAATGCCTATTTTTTACGCGGAGAAAGTGGAGTTTAACTTTTTTTAAGATGATATCCGCTGCCGGATTGCTAATCATCAAAACCAAGTACCGAATCGACAATTTTCAAATGTCACGATCACGTTCTTCGAAACCGACCAGACTGCGTTATGGCCAGCAATTATTTTCTGAAGGTGTAAATGGTAAAAACGGTCGCTTTGATCATAAAACCTGTCAACCTGATTAAATTACGGGACAAACCTTGCGGCTCCTTTGAGGTACATTAATA